GGGGGGGGGGGGGGGGGGGGGGGGTGCGGCAGGGGGACCAGAGAGAGATAGATAGTCAGGATTTTTATTGTTTTCATATTCCTGAAAAAGAATAATTTAAGGCCTGTTTGTTAAAGCTTAGGAAAAAGTTTTTTAATTAATAACTTCAAAATTTTTATGATAATTGGATAATTTTTGGGAAATAAACAGAAATAATAATTTAAAAAAAAATAGTTTTAGTGTTTCTTAGAAACCTGGAAGTAGTAGCTCTAAAAAGGAATCTATATCATATAAGTGTTATTGTTTTTAAAACTTATCTCAGTGCATCCCTGTCACATTAAAATTTCAGAACATGTGCCTAATCTAAGCTTCTAGCTCTTATTAGATTTACATGTTATCAGACTTGGTGTGATGTAGTTATAGTAGGATTGGTTCAAATTCTCGTAAAAAATGTTATGCAAATATGATTTAATATTATATTTCATAACATAATGTATCATTTTTTCTTTATATTTTTTATTCATGCTGGTTTATAGTTATTTCTGAGATCATCATCTGTAAAATGCATGATTTTGCTTTGACAGGATGCCAGGAATTATGGGTGGGAATTGAATGAGAAAGTTGACTTCAATTGGAAGAAGCTCTTGCAAAAGAAGGTATATCAAGATTTTATTTTCACATTTGATAATGCAAAGCATTATTATTTCTTGTATCAAAATCAGTCAATCAGATTAATATCTCTTCTTTGAGAACTTTTAAAGATATAGTCTGAACTGTCTTTGGTTTTCTGGATGTTGCTTTGTTATAAACTGTACATGCATTTACTCCTGCTTGCCTGCTTATATTGAAGCAGAAAATGGTTTATTAGTACATAAAAGAAAGTTTATTTGTTGGTTCTTCAATAATCTTGGTTTTGTCAAACTACAGACAGATGAAATAAACCGGTTAAATGGAGTTTACAAGCGGTTGTTATCCAATGCGGGGGTTAAATTATTTGAAGGCGAGGGAAAGATAGCTGGTCCAAATGAAGTTGAGGTGACACAGTTGGATGGTACTAAACTGTCCTATTCAGCGAAGCACATATTGATTGCAACTGGAGGCAGGGCTCAACGTCCAAATATTCCAGGACAGGTGAATTTGCTAGTTTTGAAATATTATTGCAAAATGATCCTACTGACATGATTGTTACAGTATTATGAGTATAACATGTGATATGTATAAGTTAAGAATTAAAGTTTAGGATTATGGTAGGAGAAAAAGAACTAATAGAGACTATGAATTGTAATATGTTAGATTTATATGAGGTGTAATATTTGATAAAACAATTCTAGTGCTTTGGTTATATTCATTCTAATAATTAGGTCAATTTCTTGGGTGGCACTACTAACACAGTCCAAGGGAACTAACTTAACAAGACTAATAACCATAATTATATAAGGAAACAAATCATGAAAAAGTCATGAAATATAACAAAATCAAGAAACAATTCCTTAAATTGCATCCTGATTTAGATGACTTAATTGAATCTACAGTATATTCTAAGATAATATAAATATATCTTAATTACATTTCTAACTGTATAATTATGTAATATTAGTTCATCTGCCATGTTTTTATTCTGGTGGTACTTTAATTTAATTGTGAAATGGATATATTGCTGTTGTCTTATTGTGCAGGAATTGGGTATAACATCGGATGAGGCACTAAGTTTAGAAGAGCTTCCTAAACGTGCTGTGGTTCTTGGAGGAGGGTGTGTCTCTGTCTTCTTGTGTGTTATTAGTTTAACTACTTAGTATCTCATGGTGATTAATTTATGTTCCGTTTTCAGTTATATTGCAGTTGAGTTTGCATCTATATGGCGTGGTATGGGTTCCACAGTTGATCTAGTTTTCAGAAAGGAACTTCCACTGAGGTTTGGCTTTGATATATATCTTTTGTGTTTAAGTTTTATGTAATCAAATTGGGCCTTCTGGCTTTGTCTCCTTTTCCCCTTTTTGCTTTTAAGAGCATCTACAAGGGGAGTTGCTTATAAGCAACTCCCAACCATTTTAAATGGGTCTCACTGTGTCACGTCACTTATAAGCAATTCATACTATATTTTTACAATTTTTGCTTCAATGAAAATTGCTTATAAGAACCTGTACTTTTTTACAACTCATATTACACTTTTTGACAACTCACACTACACTTTATGATGAATTTTTAAAAAATTAATTATTATGGATAATATATAAATATGAATAACAAACAAAAGAAATTACATAATAAAAAAATTATAATAATAAAAAAAATTACATAATAAAAAGAATTACTAAAAATTACAAAAAAATTAAATATAAAATTACAACTAATTAAATTCAATTACAAAACCACTAGGGTTAGCTTAGTAGTTGGGTGGGGAGGGGTTGGGGTAGTTAGAAGCATGAGGATCTAGGTTCAATCCTTATTACGACCATCTTTGTAATCTTTCCTATCTTTACCAAAAAAAAAATTCAATTTCAATAAAGTTTATAAATTAAATTAAATATAAAGTTACAATATAAAATAATTATTTTGACTCCCACAGCATGTTCTGATTTGAACAAAAAAATCAACTTTGTCCTCCGAGAGAACCAGAAAAAATCAATGTCTCACTTTCTCTTCTCTCACAAAAAATCTCTCACTTTCTCTTCCCCTCTCTCTCACCCTCACCCTCACCCATCACCACTGCCTTCACCATCAACGTCTGCCTGGAGGTGCGCGCGGCTGGCCAGAGGTTGCTCGGCCCAGTTAAATACGTATTGCCATGACTGAAAAATAAGATAAATTATATGAATTTTATAGCTTCTTGTATAGTTGTGAGGGGTCTGACAATTATAATCAGTTATACCTTACTCTTAAATCATAATTGGAAAATGAGAACTATATACTTTGAAGTTTAGTTGAATAATGAGTTATGATTTACTCTTAAATCATAAGTGGAAAATGATGTAGAGGGACAAAAGGGAAGGAAGGGAAGATGCCAGAAAGGACTGGAACACACCAATAAGAAGTTGTGGTAGATGGAAAATACTTAAGCTTTAAATTAATTTGAACAAAATTGGAGAGTTTTTTTGTTAGCAGAAGTTTTTATGCTTAACATTATATTTGTCCAATAAGTAGTAGTGTAGTTAGATGTCTAAAAGGTAAGTTTCATTGTGTACAAACTTTTGAGAGAGTAACCTTTTCCTATTCCAAAATGGATAGTTGGTTTATGGTAATTACATTTCCTGGGATTTTTTCTACAAACATTTTATTTGTCAAATTGTTTCTGAATGTTTCAAGAATTTCTGTAAATGTTATATTGGTATACTTTATTTAGAGACATAATTCCCTGGAAGAATCTTCGAGACTATAAGGGTGCATTTGGTACACAGCAAATTTTTTCATGCCTATGAATCATAATTTATGAGAATCATTATTTTAAGGAATCATGAAAATCTGTTTGGTTGGTCATAAATGTTTTTGAGAATGTTTATAAATGTTACTTGGGAATCAAGAATTTTTAGTGCATTAAATAAGCAAATAAAGATAATGTAATGTTTTTATTGCATTAAAACTTTATTTTTACCCGGGAAAGTTAGTTTCTCACCACCCCCCATAGGAATAATTCCATGGGAAAACTATTCAAAAACCATTCCCGAGAAACATTGTTACCTAACAATGTTATTTTTTAAATAACAAATCAAACACGGGAAACTAACATTCCTGTCGTCAGATTCCCGAGAAAGTAAAAACTTTCCGTGTACCAAGCACTCTCTAAGAGAATATCAATTCTCTTTATTTTCTGTATTTCTGTATTTTTGTATTTCCTGTTTACTAACAGCTGTAGTCTCTGTAAGTCAGTTATAACTGTCACTATCCATGACAATTATAACTATCACAGCTGTCATCACATCCAGCTGTAGCTTCTCTTCTGTATATAGTAGTTGTTTACATAAGCTCAACACGGTTTGTACTTTTCATATGCTCAGCAATAGAATGCTACAGTTCATTTCTCTCTATCTGCATTTCTATTATGGTATCAAGAGCATAGAACCTAGGGTTTTTCATGATGGCAAACTCTGACTCCACCATCCCCACCACACTCCTCTTCTACTCTAGCAATTTTTTCATTGGCAGTGCTTACCTTGTCCCATTCAATCACCAAAAAACTCACGAAAGACATTTTCCTTTGGAGACAACAGATTGAACCAATAAGTAAAGGTCACATAATCCTTTTTTGGTTAATCCTCACATTCCATCACACTTTCTGAAGAAAATTGCGCTACTGGATCTGTTAATTCTACATATATAGCTTGGGAGCAAAAAGACCAGTTGCTCGTCTTGGTGGTCTCACAAGCAAATAGTCGTTGCTCAAAGCACAGCTGAAGGCTGATACTTTTGATGTGGGATTCAAGTCCAAGACCTGGCAATTGGATCCTGTCACTCCTTCATGAGCTGGCCTTTCCCATCTCCCAGCATGTCGTTTTTTGCGACAATCTAAGTACAGTGTGTCTCTGTCACATAATCTGGTGCTACATTCCAAAACTAAACATATGGAGATTGATCTTTTCGTTATGTGCAAAATGGTTATTACCAAGCAGGTGGTTCACGTCCCTACTCAAGATTAATGGGCAAATGTTCTCACCAAGTCATTGCCCTCAACTCAGTTTCTTTGGCTCAGGACTAAGCTCAATGTCTATGAGCTTCATTCTTATCATCATACCCATTTTCAAAGTGAAAATACTCTACAAGGTGTTGGGTGAAATAAACACTTGGAAAAGAGTGACAAGTTAGAATACGGATGGGGGTATGTTTTTGATTGTTGAGATAGCATATGAATTTGGTGGGGGGAGTAAAGAAAATATGTAGGTGTGTTTGATTGTGTTTTTTGTTTGTGTTAAACCAGTTTATAAAATAATTTTCAGAAACTGATTTTTAGGGAGAAGATGTGAAAGTGTAAGAAAGAACACTGGTAATACGAAATTGAAAGTAGGAAACTAGAACAATTTTTTTTTGTTTTGTTTTAAAAACTGAAGAAGAGATTGTGTTTGAAAACAATTTTCAAAACTCTAATAGAACAAGTTATTTTTTTTTTAAATTTTTAAATTTTTTTTTTTAACTTTTTAGAAACACAAAAGTATTTAAAAACAGGAAACAAACAGGCCTGTAGCTTTTTAAAACAGTTTTTTTATTTTATTTTATTTTTTACAGAAGAAGTTCAATACAGAACCTTAATAATTCATAGGTATGTTTTTCAATATGTATTTCAATTTTGAAAATCAATAGTCATCATGGTTTATATCTAAATTTATAGATATGTCACACGTGGCAGCCTATTAGGAACCAAGAATTAAGAAAGAGAAAGAAAAGAAAGATTTTATTGAATTGGATCAAAAGAATACAAAATAGGAGAGAAATATCTCCTCCAAGGGTTTCCCTTTCACAAAGAGCCTGAGCTCAATCTACAAATAAAAATAAAAATATATGAATGTCTCCCCTCTACCAAGTAACCTCCTATTTATAGATGTGATGAGTCTAGCCCATGGTATCCTTCTAACTAATAACTACTCTATTTCCCTTTATTGATACACATGAAAATCAACCTTGTGGTTGAAAGCAGCCGATTGATAATACTAAGATTTCGTGTATCTGTTTCCTCAAAATCTACTCGTGCAATACCCCATCTCTATCCCAATGCACATTTTTTGATAAACAACTTCCATTAGCTGTTGTAGTCAATTGAATCTCCTTGCAGCCACCAATTAGTTTTCCCTTGTTTGCATTTTGTATTGGGTCAAATGTGCTCTTGATCGGAATCAGTGAAGTTGTTCCAATTGAGTGTTGTATGAGGCCAATTGCTGGTGTTTGGCACAAAGATCCCATTTGAGCCCATGAAAGGTTTCCAACTTGAGACTTTGGGTAGTCTTTGATTGGGGACTCTTCAACAACCAGCTTTGCATCTCTAGTGCCTTTGACAGCAACTTATGAGGTTTTTGTGTTTAGTGGTTTCAACAATGATGACTGGATGACTTGCTCTTCCTCCTAGATAACAAGATCCTTCTCTAGCTTTGGATTCTGATAATGTCCCTGTCTCATTCAACACTTCATTGTATTTCTAGTTCTTGATCTAACATAGAGACTGGATGTTCCCCTTTTGTTTCTCCCTTTGTACAGCCTTCAAAGGTGGTGGCTACCTCCACCTTTCTTCTCCAAGAATGAATCTTTGTAAAATCGCAACATTCTGACCCACTCCTTTCCATGCTCTTCTTGATATTCTTGGTTGAAAAGGGATTGACCTCTTCTTGAATGCTTTGCTCATTTGTGACCTTGTCCTCCAACATGATGTCTTGTTTATGCATCCACCTTTCCAGCCACTGCTTGATCTCTTTTGTTCCCTCAACCTTCTTGTTAGTCAAGTAGCCTCATAACTTAAGAGAGGGGGGGGGGGGGGGGGGGACAAATTTTCCTCTTATAAAACTTTTCCTCTTATCTCCTCCAAGGGTTATCCCCTTGACAAAGGATTCCTCCTTTCACAAAGAGCCTAAGCTCAATCTACAAATGAAAATATATAAATGTCTCCCCTCTACCAAGTAACCTCCTATTTATAGATGTGATGGGTCTAGCCCATGATACCCTTCTAACTAATAACTATTCTATTTCCCTTTATTCTGTATCCTAACACAGACATTTAGATCTATTGGAAAATTGATAATGGTTAATTAACATGTCATGTCGAATTCTGGGAGTTAATGTACTATCGGAAAGGTTAGAGTCATAAGAAATAGTTTCATGCTTCATTATTGTTGTTAGACTGGAGACAATATTAACCGAAGGAAGCCCATTACCACAGTTGAGACAGGCCCTATAGTTTAGAATACTTTTAACTAGTAAATAGCAGAATATAAAGGAAAGGGTTACGGTTATTCAATTAGGATTGGTTGGGAGAGACTAGGCTCTTGAATTCCTGGAGTTCTCGTTCATGCACTCTCTCCCTGTAATTTCTTGATCTGCTGTTCTTTCATCTCTGGGAACATTTCCCCCAGAGATCATCAATAAACAAGATATTCTCCATAAACATTGAATTGATTTAGCTGGTCCTATCACATATCTACTTAAAGCTGTCCTATTTTTTGGTATAAATAATGTTAAATATAGAAAATGTCTTAAAGATAATATGGATTTCTTCTCATTTGTGTTGGTGAACAGTTGGTTTTTGGTTTCTGGGAGCCTGAAAATGATATTCTTCATTGCAATGTTTGCTGCATTATTCTGGGCTAGCCCCACTTAACAGTTAGGATTTACTTTATTAACATTGTTGCTTCTAATGTTGGAAGTGCTAATTTATTTGGTTTCATACGTGTAGTAGTGATTGCAAGGAATCTTTAAGGCAGGGGAATTAATAGAATTTCTCCAATACATTATTCCCTGCTGAAATAAATTTCTGTTGCAGAGGTTTTGATGATGAAATGAGAGCCGTAGTTGCAAGAAATCTTGAAGGCAGGGGAATTAATTTGCATCCAAGGACCAATTTGACCCAGGTATTTCCTTTTGGGGTTTGCAACTCACATTAGTAGAACTTCTTTTTCATTTCTTTTAGTTGGAGGCATAGCTAATGGTAAAACAATTATTTTTTAGTTGATCAAATCGGAGGATGGCATTAAAGTTATTACAGATCATGGTGAAGAGCTGATTGCAGATGTTGTACTATTTGCCACTGGTAAGGATTCTATAGAGAAGAAATATCTGAATGTTGTGTATCCTGGAGGTACACACATGTATGCTATTTATAATAGGTAATTACTGTACAAACATAAATACAAAAGCAATCTAATCCCTAATTTATAGTAACTGATATCCCTAAATAACAATAACTGATATCTAAGATAATAACATGTATAAAATATGTTATTCAACACTCTGCCTCAAGCTATAACATTCACGTCATATGTGTCAAGCTTGTTACACTTACAAATATATTAAACTCCTGAACCTCTAAGAGATTAACTGGATAAATCAGCTAACTTTTTAATTTCTCTGGATTTCTCTAACAAAATGACAATTGGTCTCTTGGTGTTTGGTTCTTTCATGGAAAACTGGATTTGATGTAATATGGAGTGCATCTTGATTGTTACAGATAAGTTTTGTCTCTTGAATATCTCCCAATTGTATCTGTTGGAGTAATTGTCAAAGCCATGCAAGCTCACATGTGTCTGATGCCGTAGTTTGATATTTAGCTTCTGTACTGGATCTCCCAACCATGGTAGTTGAATCGGGATACAAATAGTGTATCGGAAAGCTTATATTTTGAATCGTGAATCGAATCGTATCGTGAATCGTAAGATTCATGATCAATAAAAAAAAAAAAATATATATATATATATATATATAAACAAATATAAAAAAATAAAATCATACATTAATATATAGTTAATAATATATAAATATATTCTAATTTATTTATTTTTACATATATATATAAATATTAAATAATTTATAATACATATAATTAATGATATACATATAAAAATAGAAACATAACTTAATTTATACATTAAATAATTTCAATAATTAAAATTTATAGTAGTTAAACAAAATAATAAAAAAATTAAGAAAACAAAATATTTAAGGTTTTATATTAAATTTTTTATTACTTAAAATATTATCTGAATTATAATAATAATTAATAATAAAGAGAAGTTACCTTCTTAAAAAAAAAATAGTGAAGGCCAAATCAAAAGATAAAATAAAATTTGGGCCCATTTGGCCCAACTTTTCTTTGAAGAAGACAGGTTGCATATGCCGGAGATGACAGAGTCACCGCCGGAGGAGACACAGTCGCTGTCAGAGAAGATAGATCGACGGAGATTCGTCGGAGAAGAAGACAGATCGGTGGAGGATCGGCACTTTCCCTCTCTTTTCTGCATTTTTTTTAGGGTTTCCAGAATCAGGTCGCGCGTGACTCGATCCAGTTTCGAGGCGTGACCCGCTGTTTCGAAATCGTGCGATTTCGTCCAGAATCGCGATTTTTCCGATTCACGCAACGATACGCACGATTCACATGCGATTCTTAATCAAAAACGAGACAACTTGCGATTCGTATCGCGGAAGCTCGGAATCGTATCGTATCGTACGATACGAATCGCGATACATCCGATACTTACTACCATGCTCCCAACTATATTTTGCTTCTTGTTTCTCCATGAAATTAGGTTTCCTCCATTAAGAACACTATCTCGAAGTTGATTGTTTGTCTGAAAGTGATGCCGCCAAGTCAGTATTAGAGGTGCAACTTGCAAGTGATTTTTCTGTTGCTTGTCCATATGATAATCCTTTACCTGGTGCATTTTTTATGTATTACAATGAGTATTCAGAAATTGACTAACCACACTTAAAGCGGAAGTGATGTTGGACCTAGTTATGGTGAGATATTTTAGTTTGCCAACTAAGTGTCATGTCATCCCAGATCTTTCAATGGCTCCCCAAGGACCACAGTTAAGCATTCTAGTTTCCTTAAGAATATCTAGTGTGTGGTGCATACTTACGTTGACTGAAAGCAACCCCTGAACTAGACTAAGAAACCTCAATGCCCAAGAATTTATTCATGCAATTCACCATTCAAGAAAAATTTTCAGGAGTGTTTGGGATTACTGCAAAAAAAAAAGATTATTTTACAATAAATTATATGTTATAATCATTATTGTTATAATCGATTATAATTAGAATGAGTTTCTATTGGGTAAGCTTGTTAAAAACCAATTTTAAGATATTTAATTTTGTTTGGATACAATAAAAGAATCAGCTTTTACATAGTAAATCAACTTTAGGGGGGAAAAGATGTTTGGAAATAATCATAAGCTGCAAATTTTAAGATGTATTAAAAAAATATTTTTTAGAAAAAAGCTTTTTATGAATTTCAGCTATTGTCCCAAACATGCAGCTTATTTTGCAAGCAAATGTTTTACTCAAAAACAATTGAATCTTCCAAAATAATCTTTTCCAAACCTTGAAATACGCTCTTACATGTTTAGTTTGTGGAGAGGCTAATGATGGATGCCGGCTATGGCAATGAAAAGATGGGCCAAGTGATTTTTACCATTGGAGTAGTATCCCAATAGTCAAGACCAAAAAGTTGTGTTTGGTCTTTAGCAAGCAATTAGGATTTCAATCAATCAATGTTGCCGTTTAGTCCAATCTTTATTGTATAGATCCATCAATAGCCAATGTTGGTCTTGCCAAGAGGTAAAGGAAGAAGCTACCAAGTGCCACTGGATTGCAAAGCAAACATTTTGTCCATCATAGCTTGTTGACAGATGGCTAAGCCATGACTTCTCCCATAGATTTAGGAATAGAAAAATTCAAAAAGGGAATGAAAGAGAAATAGTAAGGAGATAAACAAGCATAATTCCAAGTGCAAATATAGAGAGGGTTATGCTTGTTAGAGGATTGAATACCTTTGTGGAGTGCAATGTGAAGCTCAAACACATCTTAGTGTGACATACTTCAAGGAGGGAAGGAGACATAGGTTGAGGCCGAGTTATGCGTTGGTAGGTGATTAAAGAAGTTGAAGTGGGAACAACAATTGGAGCTAGTGTAACGAGAGGAAGAGGGGAGGCAACCAAAGTCTAATGGTCTGCAACATTGTGGCATGGTTCTCTTAAAGGAGAGAAAGTGATGGTTATGAAGAAAGTGACATCCATAGAGAGAAGATATCATTGAAATGCTGAAGAGTAGTAGTGATAACCTTTCTGAAGACACGAGTAGCCAAGGAAAATGTATTTGAGAGATTTGTCAGAGTTCATTACCAAGAGTGATATGATTAAAACAAGTGTAACTGAAAACCTAAGGAGAAACAAAGTGGAGTTCTTTATAAAGGAACAATAAGGAGTGGTGAGCATTATTTTGAAGGACGGATGGCGTGCAATTGATACGAGCAACATGTGGTACGAAAAGCAATAGCCCAAAATTGAAAAGGAACATTGAAGTGAATTAGCAAAGTATGAGTTGTTCAACCAAGCTTCAACCAAGCACTGGTTTTTTCTCTCACCAACACCATTTTTCAAGGCTTGTGGACACAAAATATTAGGAAAAACTCAGGTCTCATATTGACTAGAGATAAGAAAACTAAAGAGTATATAAGTGGAATGTAGTCGATTTTGTAGAATTGAGTTAGGCCTATAACCACTATCTAAGATGGTATCAGACATAGATCCACTCTAAAAGTGCCACCATGATTTATATAGGCACCAAGCCCAATAGTCTTGAGCATAATTGGGCGTATTGGGAAAAACCTAAGTCTCGCCTATCCTAGATCATTAAAATGCATCACCCACCATTTATCCATGTACCAAATTCAATAGTGTTGGATGTGAAGGGTTTTATTTGGAAAAACTCAGGTCCCACATCAATTAGAGATAAGACAATTAAAGAGTATATAACTAGGGGATAACCCTCATCCTACAAGCCGATTTTGTAGGATTGAGTTAGACTCATAACCATTATCTAAGACATGAGGTTTGGCAATATGTTTCCTGTGATGTCAAAAAAGTTATAAGCGGTGTAGGCAAATATTCATAAGCATTTTCTACCCACAAAATTTTGATAAGAGGTATCAGTGTGATTTTCAACTCTATGAAAAAGCTTTGGAAAATGTTAAAAATATCAAAATGACTTTTCAATGCATAGGCTAAGATAATAGTCAGCATATACAACCCTAAAGTCCTTCAGGCTCATCTTATATTTTGTAATTTAAATATTTGGGCATGTTATTTTGTATAAACATCCATCAAGTTTGTTCATACTTGATAACTTTATCAATGCTTGATTAATGATTTTTTACACATGGGCATAGCATAGAACTGGAGCATAACCTTAACCTTACATAGAAGTAATAATGAATAATATATTTAGGTTTATGTTTTGGGGGTTGGAGGTAGAAGTAGAATGCATCCTGCAAGTAAAGGTTCAAATTTTGCTTGCCTTTTTAAAAAAATCTATATCTTCTTAAGTGTTCTTTTGTTGCTGCAGGTAGGGCACCTAATTCTAAGAGGTTAAATTTAGAAGCTGTAGGTGTTGAGCTCGACAAAATTGGAGCAATAAAGGTTCAAATCTCTATTTCATTTATTCACTTGATTCATGAAGTATAATAAAAAAATGAAATGCTCTCATTTCAGGATCTGTACGATATTGTGGATCCATTGTAGTTCTAAATGTTCTACATTTCTTTGTGTTTAGGTGGATGAGTATTCTCGCACCAACATACCTAGCATATGGGCTGTAGGTGATGTAACAAACCGAATGAATCTTACACCAGTGGCCTTGCTGGAATCATCGTGCTTGTCTGTAAGTATTCAAATATTTAGTGGATAAGCACACCTATTTATCATTTGGACATGGCTAGGGGAGAGACAGTGTTGATTGGTCTAATGATCTTATTTATCATTTAACATAAATTTATTTTTGCAGAAAACAATATTTGGTGGGCAATCAATCAAGCCAGACTACAGTAATATTCCCTGTGCAGTGTTCTGGTATAATTGCTTTTCCATTATAAAACTTAGCAGTGGTTAACTATTTTGAATATGTTAACATATTTTGGTATATCCTCTTCTTCCCAAATTTTCTTTCACCATTTTGTTTCTTTTCTGGGGTTCTGCAGCATTCCACCACTTTCTGTAGTTGGTCTCAGTGAGGAGCAGGCAATAGAGCAAACCAAAGGTGATCTATTGATTTTCACATCGACCTTCAATCCTATGAAAAATTCCATCTCTGGGTAAGTGTAGTGACTTGGAATTTTCACCCACTTAACCTTGATTGCAAATCAATGACTTGCCGAATTCATGATAACTTGGATCAGATAACAATAGTTTCTGTAGGAAATATAGTTTAGTACATATATTTTAAAACCTTTAGGTATCTATTCTAGTTATATTAATGTTCTGATCTGCTGGATGGATCCAGTGCCATTGATTTTTTTATTTACTCTATTGAAAATCTTGTTTGGGTTTTAATAATCTGGATGTGGATTTATGTTAGTCCTTTAATTACTTCAAGCTCTTCAATTCTCAGTTGAACCCAGTATTAGTTATGTTCGTTGCAGTAGAGTTTCTTATCTATATTATTGTTGCTGATATTTTGAAATAGGCGACAAGAAAAAACTATTATGAAGCTTGTTGTTGATGCCGAAACAGATAAGGTTCTTGGAGCCTCCATGTGCGGACCTGATGCCCCTGAAATTATACAGGTACCTAATGATTTCACCCAGGTAGCAACGAATGCCAGATTAGTGTATTTTTTTTTTAACTATATTGTCTATTGTTTTAGAAGCCTTTGTACTTCCCTTTTAGTACATTGTTATTGCTGGAGTATCTACAAAATATTTCATTATTTATTTCATTATTATATCTTTAGAATATTTTGGAGGTATCTTAGATGATCTCTTCAGACTGGTATCAATATTTACTGATTTGTTTTTGATAAGCACCCAAGCACTTCAGGAACCTTCCCTTAAAAGCTAGCTTTTAAGGGGGGAGAAACCAAGCGACTTGAGTATTCCACCGAGCATACCATACTACTTGATGCAGAGTCTGAGCAACCTTCTATTCTTAATCACTTTACACTCCTTGCTGTATTTTGGATTTTGTGTTTTAGAAGAATAGAAGATATATGATCAATGTTTTCATGCTTTACTCTCTCAAAATTTCTGTTTCTTTATTAAAAAAAAAAAGAGAAAATTTTCATAATTTTTGAAGTGATTGCTCTATCCCCCTCAAATTAGCAGTGATTTATATGATAACTGCAACATTGATGATGTTGAGATATCTATCTTTTTGTATGCATTTCATATGCCATGCGCTTCTATATTTAATTATTTGTATCTATTAATTAATGATATAAAATATTCGTAATCAATAGGGTATTGCTATTGCATTGAAGTGTGGAGCTACCAAGGCACAGTTTGATAGCACGGTAAGTTCACAGCTTTCGTGATTGTTTTTCTCTCCTGCCTTCTTAGGGCAGTGGTAGGATATTTTTATTACTGGAAGGGAAATGATACTATGGCGTCTGGAATTGACTTGACCTATCTGAAATATTTGCTCAACATTGTCAACATTTAAGTGGTGTTGGAAAATGCAGTGTGCGAGAACAATGGTTATTCAGAAATTATAGTGTTAGAAAATGCAAATAATAAAGCATATGATTGTGAATTAAACTTTTTGGTCGTCCTTTCATATTTAAGTTTTCTAATTTGAAGTGTGTATATATATATATATATGAGAAGGGATCCTTTTATTCCAGGAGTAAGTTTACCTAGACTTACTCCGTTCAATAACTCATGTTTTACATCAGATTTCAATTCTTAAAGCAAAGATCAAATTTACAAATTTTTGAAAAATTTGAAAATCATTTGATACTTCATTTCATTAATTCAAATTGACAGATAATTATAAAATCATTTTATACATTGATTCGAATTAATGAAACGAAGTATCAAATGATTTTCAAATTTTCTAAAAATCTGCAGATTTGATCTATGCATTAAGAACTTTAAATTGAACGGTTGGATTGTTGAAATTTGATGTAGAACATAAGTTATTGAACGGAGTAAGTCTAGGTAAACTTACTCCTGGAGTAAAAGGATCCCTCCTCTCTCTCTCTCTCTATATGTATATATATAAATATAAATATAGAGAGAGGTTATAATAACACCGGTGTAACTTTTACTAAGTGTTACACCGCTCAATAACTTTATATTAAATGTGAATTTTGTAAATTTAACCGTCAAATTGAAAGTTCATATCTCTTAGATCATATATACAAAATTTTATATTAATCCAAGATGATTTGATACTTTATTTTTATAAAACAAAATTGATGTAATATATTCATTTCAAAATATACTGAAATATGAACACTTTAACTACTTTCAAATTGTTCAATTATAACAAAATTTGATATACTTGATATACACATATAAAGTGATATGAACTTTCAATCTAACGGTTGAATTTACAAAATTCGTATTTAATATAAAATTATTGAGTGGTGTAATACTTGGTAAAAGTTACACCGATGTAATTATAACCCTCCTCTATATGAGAAAGGTTATAATAATATCGGTGTAACTTTTATTAAGTATTACACTGCTCAATAACTTTATATTAAATGTGAATTTTGAAAATTCAACCGTTAGATTGAAAGTTCATATATCTTAGATTATATATATAAAATTTTATATTAATCCAAGATGATTTAATACCTCATTTTTATAAAACAAAATTGACGTAATATATTCATTTCAAAATATACTAAAATATGAACATTTTAATTACCTTAAGTTGTTCAATTTTAACAAAATTTGATATACACATATAAAGTGATTTGAACTTTCAATCTAACGGTTGGATTTATAAAATTCACATTTAATATAAAGTTATTGAGTGATGTAATACTTAATAAAAGTTACACTGATGTAATTATAACCCTTCTCTCTCTTTATATATATATATATATATTAAAATAGTCCGGCAAAATAAAACCTCTATACTTTGATCTTCTTTATCATTACAAGTAGTTTTCTCGTTCTGTCTTCGTGACCCTTTCCTTTTTTGATATTATATTTTCTAATTGCTTCACTTGACTCTTTCATCTAGGTGGGTATACACCCATCGTCTGCAGAAGAATTTGTCACCATGCGGTCAGTGACAAGGCGAGTAACTGGAAGTGGCAAACCCAAGACCAATTTGTAAAATGTTTAAATGAAAATAGTCTGAATACGATCCACTTGATGTATTGTAAAGCTGCAAATGACTTCGTTTGGTGAGAATAGCTCACATAAATATCTGCTTTTTTATTTCCCAATAAAATGGTTTGTTTTCTTAAAATTTCATTTTATACAAAATTCCATATGAAAACAGTGTTTTTCAGTGCCATTAAATGTAAGAACGAGTCATCTGATTAATTCTCCTGACTTTAGTTGAGGTGCCTTCAGATTCATTAAAGATATTACAGACTTTTGTGCTTCTATTTTGTTAGTTAATTCCTTGATAGTTATATTAGTAACTTATTTCAATAGTGTTGACTACTTTTAATTTCTTTTATATTTTAAAGTATGGTTTCCATATTAGAAATTTCAGTAGCGGTGTTTATAATCTTGCATGATGGCATATTCATTTATGTATTGTGTTGGGAAACATTTCATAGGAGAGAGGAGAGAGAAAATAATAAAACTGAAAATGGATTTTACTCAAATGAGAAAATTAACTTGCATGAATACAAATTGTGACTTACATAACCAATCTATATCTATACATGCATATTTCAATATCTACATTTTGGTTTCTATTTTTATTGTACACTTTTGTCCCTCTACACACTTCATGATTATAAAAACTCATTTTGTGAATAACCACTCATAATTATCCATTATTTTTTTAAAATTAAAGGGTATGAAGTGTCTCTTTTTCTTACTATTCTATTAACACTAATATCCTATATCTATAATATATTTGTTAATTCTAATATAGACACAAACTAAAACGTGATAGAAAAGATGAATAAGTGATATAGATTTGTATTACCTCCCATCATAAAAATATATCCTTCAACCATGTTGTTCAATATTTAGTTATGTCAATTTTTATTTAGAATAATTATTGGCCCTTGAAACTGTAAGCATTAATCATTTGTTCACTGTTTAGTTATGTCTGTTTTTATTTAGAATAATCATCGACTCCTAAAACTGTAAAAATTAATCATTTTAAGTTGACCTATTTTTCATTATCATTTAGTCTAATTTTGCATAACTTCATTCACTTTAATGTTTTTTAACCTCATTTTCTACTACATTATCAACTAACGTGAATGACATTTTATAAAATAAAGACTGGGGATTTTAATAAAATTTATTAACTATTAAAATTACTGGATAGTTAATTAGGATAAATAAATGCTCAATTAAAAAATTCAATTATTGTATAAATAAAATATAAAAATGTTGCACAAGTAAAATTCAAAATTTATATAGGCATAAATAAGAAAAAGGAAGTTGGTTATTCGGTCGATTCTTCTTTCTCTAATATGTAATACGATCCTCTTTGGAGTTATTCTACAAAATATTTAATGTCTCACATGATTTCTCAAGCTTCCGTCTGTAAACCCTACAAATAATGATATATCATATTAAAAGAACAATGTAGAGTGATAAACATAACAAGTAAGATTAGATCGACTTGGGCATGCTTGTAGGGTCTTGCATTAAGACTCTCGGAGGATCTCTCTAATAAGGTGATAAAAGCTAGGTGGGGAAAATAATGTGGGATTAGTGTATGCAACATGCTAGATTTACCATAAGCGATCTTCTGGTGAAATTGTCAAGAACATGATCATCGTATTTAAGTCACCTTGATGAAAAACTAGGTTGGTAACCACATAAGGTGAACGAGGAATGTTTGACAAATGTTCATACTTCATAACACCCTTTTTGGTGGTTGTGCATGCATCAATGTGGCGCATCTAGTAACTTACGTAGAGAAAGACGTTCTTACAGTGTTGTTTGTGGTATGCGTATGGAATCTAGCACACTTCTACACCAAATAAGTGTTCATTGACCGCAAAGAGTGTGTCATCAATATATCCTATGGTCAAGTGGTAGTTAATGCTTGTAAACATGATTAATTGGATTCATACAAGTAAATAATTAGTAGAAGAAAAAAAAACTTTGGTTACAAGAAAGGAACCAAGAAAATTTGGATACCAAAATCTCAAATAATTTATGTTGCAATATCTAAGAAAAAGGAAGGATTCAGACTGGTGTTTGGATAGTGGCTTCCCACGATACATGACAAGAGAAAGGTTTATATTCCTAGACCTCCAACCACATGAAGGCTAAGTCTAATTTGAAAGTAGGAAAATTCAGAAGTATAGGTAAGATAGGTAAATATTCTATACCTATTATAAGTAATGTCCTATATGTCGAAGGTCTAAAGTATAATCTACTTAGTATAATTCAATTTTGTGACAGTGGTTACATAGTAGCCTTTGATAAAGATGCACACATAGTCAAGTAAGACAATGGGTATGTGCATTTTACTGCTAAGAGGAAGCATAATTTCTATGGGATCAATCTAACTAGTTTGAGCAAATATAATGTAATTTATCTAGTTTCTAGAGAAGATAAAAAATAGATTTGACACAAAACACTCGTTTTCACTATGAAACATGTTAGAAGGGAAAAAAATTAAAACATCTTTTAAAACTAGTTGTTTCCACTTCTAGACCTCTAAAGTTGTTACATATGAATCTGTTTGGTCGAATTAGGAAACTTAGTCTAGGAGGTAAAAAGTACTGATTTGTCATTGTGGATCACTATTCTTGATATACATAGGTATACTTCCTAGGTTACAAATATGAATCATTTAAGGTCTTTGAAATATTTTACAAGCGTGTTCAAAATGAAAAACATTTTTGCATAACTATCATAAGAAGTGATCATGGAATTGAGTTTCGAAATTTTGATTTCAAAACTTGTGAAAAAATAACATCTTTCACAACTTTTCTTCACTAAGAACACCTTAACAAAATGGGGTAGTTGAAAGAAAGAACCAAACTTTACAAGAATGACAAGAACACTTTGTGAAAATAATTTGTCAAAACACTTCTCGGTAGAGGTAGTGAACACAACATCTTACATTCAAGCAATGGAGGAGTAACACAATCTGTGGTGAATGGCAAGTTGATAAAGTTGGATGGCCCTAGATTGAAGGCTGTTGTTGGGTTAATTGGAACCGGTGCCACAAAACCCCAATCCTTCAATTTTGGAAACTTTGAGGAGCTGACCATCTTTAGGGATTGTCAAAGAAACCCGAAGACTACAAATCATAGTATGTTTTTGGATGGAGGTATGAAAAAGAATTCTAGGTTAATTCCTTTCATTATTGCTTGGATGCTAAAACCTAGATTACATAACCATGGCCAAATGTCTAGGAAAGACATTTTATTGATGTATGTGATTAAGAAAAAAGAAAAGATTGACTGGGTTTCTGTTGTTAATGATTGTATTTGGAAAACAAGAAGGAAAGAAGATATATGGACCAATTCCTTATGCTTTATTGCTCTCAAAGGTGTTTGAAAATGCTGGAGAGGATCTTAAAGGGGAGAAAAAGATTATTCTTCATTCTTCCAACAAGATTGAAAGAGCCTATTTGCATCACATGAGGATGCTCAAGTAAGAGGAAAAGTGGATCTTCAAGGGAGATGTCCCTCCTACTCCCGAGCTTGCAACAGATGAAGATGGTGTTCCATCTCATGATGAGGAGCAACCACCCCAAGTGGAGCAAGAATCAGGACAAGAGCTAAAACTATTCTCTCCATTTGAGAAAATAATGATTAATAAGATTGATGCTATCATGGAGATGAGTAGGAAGAATGAGTCTCAATTTTCTACCATTCTTGATAGGTTTGATAATGTGGACCATGAAATTGCAAGAATCAAGACTCAGCTGGGAATTGAAGATGACTCGGATTGAAGAAGTTTAGCTCTAGTTCTAGTTCTTAAGCATTTAGGAGTTTATGTTTTGTTTTCTAATTCTATTTTTAATTTCTATTTTCATTTCAATTGGGTTGTTGTAACATCCGGAATTTTTCTACTAATACTACGAATAATTATTATTTATTTTTTTAATTTATTAATTCTTATCGTGTTAATTTCATCATAGGGTACCGATTTAGGGAATTGTAGGGGTGCTTAATACCTTCTCTACATGTAATCGACCCCGAATCCAATTATGGTTATCAAGGCCATTATTGGACCTTAAAAAA